GGAGCGTGGCAGCGCTCCCGCCGAGGGTTTGGATCCCATGTGGAGACCGGTTCCCGCTCACTGGCTGAGCGTGGTGCGGGCGCAACACCGAGGGTTGCGATCCCGTTGCCGGTCCCCCGTACGGGCGCGACACCGAGGGTTGCGATCCCGTTACCGGTCAGTAAAAAAGACAAAAAGAAAAAAAAAATAATAATAAATAAATCAAGTTTAACTTTTCTCCTTAGGGGGGCAATAACAACAACAAAAAAAGGTCGGGGAAACACCGAGTCAGACAGACCTAGGTTCTAGCCTGGATCTGCCACTTATTAGCTGTGTGACCTAGGGGCAAGTTGTTTAACATCTCTAAGCCTCAGCTTATCTTATAATTCTAGATGCCATCTCAAATGTCCTCAGAACATTCGCCTATAATGTGAAGTAGGGTTAGTGACATCTAGATAATACCCAGGGGCAGAATGAGTCACACAGATCCAAAGGCATCAGGTCACACAGAACTTCTGGAAAAGAATGTTCAGCATAGTACCTGGCACACAACAAGAGCTCTGTAAATGTTACTGCTATTTTTCTTATTTTCTGTTTAGGAGAGTTAAGGAAAATGGTAAGTAAAAAGGGTAAAGGAATCAGGGGTGAAGGGGATTAATATGATGCTGCACCATAAGAAACTACAAATTAATACTCTGTTAGCAATGTCCACTGATATTATCCCTGACTCCTGGTTATTGTTGTGGCTTTGAAAAACTGTAAACGAGAATACCCAGGTTAGCTTACTGGTCTAAAACCCCTATGAATTATGAAAGTTGAAAGAAGAAAACAATAATGGGGGTTGCTTTGGTTGTAGGACGGATTTCTGCATAGGAAAAAGCCTTAGGCACTTAATCTACATGGTCATCTGTAAGGCTGGGCGGCTGGATCATGTCACTGGACTCTTTGTGTTCCTTGGAAACTAGTGCCAAGTATATGTGAGTTAGATGCCATCTCAAATGTCCTCAGAACATTCTCGTATAATGTGAAGTAGGGGAAGTGACGTCTAGATAATACTTGGGGGCAGAATGAGGCACGTGGATCCAAAGGCATCAGGTCACATACCACATGCAGATGAGTCAGACAGCAATTAACATTTATTAAGCATTCTCTAGTTGCAAGCTTAAGCCAGATAAGAACTCTAGCTACAGCCATGCAAAAGTTCAAGAAAATGTTGTCCTTAAAGGACTCTTTAGCTAGTTTGATTGTTCGTACCTTATCTTCACTGCTTATAGACTACAAGTAATTACCAAATACCTGCTATGGACCAGACACCCTGTAAGGGGACTCCTTTGGATGATTTATAAGGCAGCACCAAAAAACATATGCCATGCACATCAGGCACTGTATCAAGACCTGGGGAAGGGGCCGGCCTGTGGCTCACTTGGGAGAGTGTGGTGCTGATAACACCAAGGCCACGGGTTCGGATACCATATAGGGATGGCCGGTTAGCTCATTGGGAGAGCGTGGTGCTGACAACACCAAGTCAAGGGTTAAGATCCCCTTACCGGTCATCTTAAAAAAAAAAAAAAAAAAAGACCTGGGGAAAAGGAGACAAATACCCAAACTATGGAGGAGTATAACCTACCTGGTGGACAGATCCATTTCTAGAAAGCAGGATATGATTTAAGTCAAAGGTAAACGCAAATCAGAATTTAGGATAGGAGAATATTCAAATCACCATTATGTTGTTGGTACTTTATTTACAACCTTTTCATCTCCCTAAACAACAGGTTTAATGGTGTAAAAAACAGTCTAATCTCGCCCAATATCTCTTACTTACTGTGGGTAGGCAGGTTTGTTTTTCCTCAACATGGGCACATACCCAAAAGGACATACGAAAGGACAAACGTGATGTAACAGGGATCCCACAATGTTTAGTCCAACAGTCCGGGCTTGCCACTTATTAGTTGGGAGAGGGATTGTAAAATGGGGATAATAACAATAATCCCTATTTAACAAAGTTATTGTGAGGAATGAGGGAGATGACACCTACAAACTACCTACTCTTTGCTCATGGGAATATGAAGGGTTACATCTCTTTTGCCTTATCCTAAGGCAGGTAAGCAGGTATCCTCTATTAGCTTAGTGTGAGTATATCATACTTCCTTTTATTTTGTCTTAAGAAAATAAACTGAAATGGCAAACCAACAAAACCAAAATAAACAAAAAAAGAAATCAAGCTGGTTCATGCCCCCCCATTGCAGGCATTAACCTAAAGAAAAAAGAATAAAACTATAAAACTTGCCTTTGAAACTTTGATCTACAAGCCCTCTCTCAATGCATTTGGCTCAGGGAGCTGAATGATAATAACTAGCTACCTCTACTACTCAATGTCAAACAACAACAGTACCATGAAGCAGAACCACCATCAATTCTTCGATATTAAACCAAAGATGTTCTTTAGCTGCTTAAACCTGAAATCAACTTGAACTGTCCCAAATTCAACTTTGTAGCACATTCACCGAAACAATCCTTAATAACAGTAGATTCAAGAGAATTACTGAGTAGCTATTATACACCATGCACTGTGCTAGGACTTAGAAACGCAAGATGTTGTTTCTGAATAAGAATAATCACACAGAGACATCAAAGGAATAGGAAAGGCTCTCCAAATTGCTGGTGTTGACAAAGATTTGCTTCTCTTGCACTTTTGCCCTTGAGGCAAAATAACTACCTTTCATTGGATTACACCCAGTTTGGCTCATTGAACTTGAAGAAATTATAACCTAGGTAACTAGCTGAACATAGTAATCTCCACACACCATAGGAGATTGCTGTGGATGGCAAAGTGTTACTAAATAAAAGGAGAAAAGGTCAAATGGAAAGCTTTGTGTACACTCACATCCTTCTCCTGGATGGTGCACTCCTTACAATAATAGGCATCGGAGACGCCGGGGCCTCCACAGATCACACAGCGCCCCTGGTAAGAGCCATAGTTACATTCATCACATATGCGCACCAGGGTGCAGGGACGCACATAGGAGTCACAGATCACACACTTGCCGTCACCTATGAGAAAAAAAATGGAGTCATGCTCACTAGCAAGTACTTCCTCAAGTCCTTCCCCTTTCTCCTGCCATGGGGAAATACCCTAGCCTCCTTCTGACAGTGACTTTAGAGCACTCCCTACTTTGGCATCACAAAACTTGGCTTGTCCAGTGTCCATCTCAATCCTCACACACAAAAAGTTAATCAATTAATATATGGAAAGAGATTGCAACAGCACGTAGGAGATAAGTCTATCTAACTGCTGTCAAAAAACTGCTGTGGGGGGGGGGGGGG